TCATTAGAACAAATCATTCTATTCATTAAGAGAATGCAACTATATATCTATCCTAACCACTTTGAATACACAGATACAAAATGGACATTCATTGGTATACCCCATTTTTTCTAAGTTCCATTATTGAATACTATAGATGTGTAAACTCAGCAAAATATTCTAAAAGAGTCCAGTAGCTGTATTAATTTTGAGTGATAGTTTTACAGGATACATTAGTCTGGGTAAAAGTCTTTTTATTTTTTTTTTTTTTCATTTTAGTGCTTGAAACACTTTACTCCAAGCTCTTTGGTTTTCTTTGATTTAGTTTGGTTTAGTTTGATTTTATTTTTTTGTAAAACAGGACTAGAACTCAGGACTTTGGGCTTGGCAGACAAGCACTTGTGCCATTGAGCTATATCCCTGGCCCCTCTAACAGCTTTTAAAATTCAATCTTTGTGTTGGACATGTGGGATTTTGATCATGCTGTGTCATGGAGGTTTTTTTCTAGTTATGTCTATTTGGGATTCTATATGTCTCATATGCCTATATTTTGAATTCTTTCCCCGTACTTGGGAAAATTTTCTGCTATGATTTCTATAAGCTTGATTTATGAAATGTATGCTTTCTTCTGACTATTACCTAACTCCAGTGAGTGTCAGGTTAATCTTCTTTGCTTTACTGAGCAGCTGTTAGATCCAGTTGCCTTCCCCTGTTTCAGTTTAACCTGAGTATATGGCCACAGTTATCAGACCAATCTCCTACTTCTGACTTCCCTACCCACAGTGCTCTCTTCTGCCCATACTTTCAATTGAATTCTTTATCCGTGGATTTCTATTTGGCACTTTGTCATGGACTGTATTCTTTGCTAACCTGGTCATTCACATTGTGCATCACTTCATTTAGGTCTGCTCATTTTTTACTTGTATCTTCTTTATAATCACTAACCAATTGACTAATTTAGTCTGACATATGTTTAACTCACCAAGTTATTTTGTTTCTCTCTTCATTTATAGTTTATTATAATTCAGCCACTTGGTATTTTATTTCTCCTCCATCACTATCCTTTGAATCCATTTTGGAGGAGTTGGGAGTTTGGGGAAGCATTTTGTTGCCTTATTTTGTTATGCTTGTATGTTTTGTCTGTGTTGGTGAGGGTTCAGTATCAACTATAGTAGAAGATTCTTTTTCTAGTTTGGAGATCTCTTTAGCTACTATCTGCTTTCCAGTGATAAGCTATTGGGATTGTGTGTATTGTCCATCTCTTTAGCATTCTAACTTTAATAGTATTGGACCTGGTCACCAGCATAAGCTGTAGCTTCTCTGACTTCATCCACAATGAAAGTCTATCTCTTCCAGTTACACCACAATAGCAGGAGACAGAATTGGTGCTGATGTTGGGGGACTAGGAAGATTTCTGTAGGTGGATAACGAGAATGAATAGAAAACTCTCCAAAGGAAATTTGTAAGCAAGCATTAGAAATATTTTTCTGTAAGGGGCTGGCAAGATAGCTCAGCAGACTAAGATGCCTGCTTAGGCATGCACAGGGACCGTGGTTCAATCCCTGGCACTACATGCCTCATCAGCCCCATCCCCCGGGGGCACTGAGCTGGCCACAGAGTCTGGACATAGTGACACATGGCTGTAATTCCAGTGGTGGTGGGGGGTGGTGGTTGAAAACAGGAGCATCACTAGGAGTCCAAGCTGCATAATGAGATCCTGTAACAACCAAATACATTAAAAATAATAAATAAATAAATTCTTCTGTAAGAAGAAAATTAAGTTTAATCATGAGAATGTTATAAAGAGGGCAAATATAGATAGATAGATAGATAGATAGATAGATAGATAGATAGATAGATGCTGTTCAAGTGCCACAAGTAAAGGGGATCCCCAGAGGAAGCCTCCAGGAGAACACTATTCAGACTCCCCAACCAACTCTCTTGATCTGTATCCATAAAAGACTGTTCATAACACAGTTTCAATCTGTTCACACACTGATACCCACTCACAGGAAGAAGTGAATTAATTCCTCAGATGAAGTGCTCTACAGAAGCCTTTTACATCCAAAAGAGAAACGGAAGCACTAAACAGCAACTTAAGTAATGGCCAAACCTACATTAAAAAACAAAGTCAGATGCAATCTGCCAGGGTACAGAACGCAAACACCACCTGTCTCTGTCTCAAAGATGGGTCAGCTGATGAACAGGAGAAGAAGGCACCAGTATGCAAATTCCCACAGAAGCCACCCTCACTGACTCTTCTTAGAGTCCCCAGTGGGGTTTGGAGCACAGAGCAAGGTAGGGCCCTGCTCACATCACCCTGCATGCATCAGCCTGAGGTGTTTTGTGCTGCCTATCTGGGGTTTCCCTCACAGAGAAGGGGGACAGGCTGGGTGTGGGAGGGAGTTAAGGCCACTCCCCACCATAGCTCTCCTCCTTTAGGTAAAGACAAAACTAAATGGAAATTAAAGGACAGGAATGAAGCCCTTCTGGCCCTCAGGTAAGACAGCTTTAAGGTGACTTTCATATCACCCCCTAATGGCTCCAGAATAGACAAAACTCAGTTATTCACAATGACACATAATTTGCTCTTGTCTCATCCCCATAGTCCTTGCTCAGCAATCACTTGTGCACTCCTGATTGTCTCAGAACCTACTTGTGGGGCACCCGCCTGAGGCACTTGTGCATTCCATTCCTGGAGATGAGGAAGTCAGGGCCCACCCCCTCAGGAATCCCTGGCTAGCTCAGATGCCTCGCACTTGGTATTTCCTGACTTCTATTTGCCCAATTTGGTGCTTTGCACTGAAGACCTCAAGTAAGATGAACCCACTTCCTCCAGGAGATAATAAGTTATAATTCATTAAGTGCAAGTCTAACATGAATGGGCTAATATGAATCTCAACCCATAATTTAAGATGTTTAAGAAATGGCATATTTCTCTTTCCAGTTACCACAATTTACACTCCAAGCTTACGTTCCTCTGTCTTTATTCATTCTGAAAACTATCCATATTCAAATCATATTCCAATTCCACCCACATGGCACAGAGAGCTGGATGCACATAGGGACTACTGAAGTCAGATGACCTGGATTTTAGGTTTTTTTTTAATTGTGTGTGTGTGCATAGTCTCACTACACAGCCCAGACTAATAGTGATCCTCCTGATTTCTGCTTCCCTAGTGCTGGGATTACAGGCATTCGCTACCACGCCTGGACTCACTCCATCGCTGGCTCAGTGTGCCTGGAGACGGGTCCGATGGCAGCATGCAGAGCCAGGGATCGAACCCTGGCCCCTGCACTTACCTAAGCAAGCACTTAGTGTGCAGAGCTATATCGCTGGACTTAAACAGAAGCTTGCTTTTTTTTTTTTTTTTTTTCTGTATTTAGGATAGGGTCTACAGGGTCTCACTACATAGGTCAGACTCGTAGTGATTCTCCTGTTTTTATCCTCCCAAGCACTGGGATAACAGGTGCATGCCACAAGGCCCAGTCTCTTAACTGCCATCTCAGTGCACCCCGGCGACAGGGCCAGCACAGCACATCAGGGATCGAACCCTGACCATTGAGCTTTGCCCAAGCAGGAACTTTAGTCTGCTCAGCTATCAGGCCAGCCCAACCTGGATTTTAATTCTAACTCTACAAATTTGCTGGTCCAACTTGGAAAAGTTAGTTGCCATCTCCAAATCTTAGTTTCTCTGAAAAAAAAAAAAAAAAAAAAAAACTGGGGCCGGGGAGATGGCTCAGTAGGATAAGCGCTTGACCAGCAAATGCAAAGATCTGAGTTCAATCCCCGGTTCCACCAAAAAAAAAAAATCTTAGTTTCCCACCTATGAAGTGGAGAGTATAGTACCCCTTTAATAGGGATGTTGTGTGGATTAAATAAGATAGTATATTCGAAGCACTTAGAATAGCACCTAGAACTTTATAAACAATGCTGAGGAGTTTCTCTTGAGCACACAACCCCTTGAGCCTGGGCCATTTACAACCATACCTGAGATTTAAAACTTCAAGGAACTGATAGGTTAAAGGAACACATACCCAAAGCTACTAATATCTTCACATTTACTTGTACCAAGGGACCTCACTTAACTCTTAGACATTTCTTCCTAGTCTGTTTCTCTCAGGACATTCTTTCTCCAGAGCCTCCCTCAGTGACAACTAGCTTGCCTGTCTGAGGAACTTGTAGAAATCAAACCTGGGACAAGGAAGGGGTTCCATTCTTCTCCAAGACAAGAAAAAATGAATTTTCCTGCGGTTAGTGCCAGTTTCCAGTCCAAACTTCTTGTCAAGACCACTTTGTTAAGACACAAATATCTACACAAATCACCTCCAGAATTCTCACGATTCTTTCACCAGAAGCTCCATGCAGGAGACCATGGAAGTAGCACAGAGCATACAGATTTAGTATAAGCATACTTGCTGAGTGATGTAGGTAGCTCTCAGAGCCCACCTTTAGGGAAACCCAAGCCCTAAAATGCCTAACATTTAACTGGAGGAAAGAGGCCAATAGTGCCCAATAGGATGCAGAAATTGTATGCAGTGGAGAATGTTGTGGCTTGACCTCATATGTTCTCTTGGACAGTAGCCAGGGAGAAGCAGCCTATTGTGTCACAAGCTGTAGCATGGGAAGTGCAACACAGGAAAGCTCAATGGTGGAGGGATCTTCCCCTGACACAGTTGGGGGGAGCCTCTATTGGTGGCAAGAGCACAAGGCACAGCTAACACCTCCGGCCTCGTCACTGACAGTTGAGCAAGCCAGCCTCTCAGTCGCTATGCTGAGCTCCACCTGTAAGCAGATACAAAGAAAAATGCTACTCTGGAAACATGTTCTGCAAAATTGCTGACCTATGAACACACCTGGCACTGGCCAACCCCTGCAGCCTTAATTTCCCTGCATACCAACCTCATGATTCCAGTTGCAGTCCCATCTGGCTGCCCCCGTCCCATCCCAAGGTCAATCTAACCTGAAGACAGCACATTTAGGGTCTGGCTCAGGCTCTCTCAATGATCCAGCCTATGCTGGGACACTTCTTTCTTCCTCTTGCAAAAGACTGTTGGGCAAGGTATAGTGGTACACACCTATTCTCCCAGCACTTTGAGAGACTGAGGTAAAAGAAGTGTAAGTTGGAGTCCAACTTAGGCAACTTCATTAAGCTCTCAAAATGATGGGACTGGAGTTGTAGCTTCCTAAGGTCATACATTCGATGCCCAGCACAAAAAGTAAACAAATAAATATGAAAGACCCTGGGAATATGGTGTGCATGACCCCAAGGAAGTCCCTAGTATGATTCTCAGAACACTGGGCCAGGCTCCTAGATTCATATTTTTTTCTCTGAAAATAGTAAATATCATAAGGAAAAACTTAGGGCACATGTTTCAGTTGCCTAAAAAGTATTATCATTCTACCTTTCCTATAATGTCTAGATAAAAGTGGGTTTAAATAAGAAGACAGAGGGAAACAAAAGAGAGATGATAAAAATGGGTCTGGGAAAAGGGAAGGAAAGGAGGAGTAACAAGAATCAGAGGATGCACACAGCCCACTCTCCAGCCTTCAATCCTAGTTTTCCCAGCTTCAAAGATCCTGTGCAAGGAATCATGAGATTTTTTTTTCTGTCATCAAAACACACTGATGGAACTGTCCCTGATGACCACAGACTTTGGGCACTGTTGATATGGCAGTGGAAAAAGGGAGTGAAGGTGGGCAGCCCCTGCTGGGCCCCAGTAGGAGTTCTCTACACTGAGGCCCCTGGATGCAGCAGTTCCCACCTTCCCACACAGACAGGGAGGAACATCGGCATTCTTTTCCTATGCTAACCATCTCAGTGGCGCTCTGATGATTTACAGTCTCCCCTTAAGCAAAATGCCAGAGCATCTAGGCTATTACCATCTATAAGGCTTAGATTTGCTGCACATTTTTACAGATTTCAAAACAAGGCAAAACAAACACGCCCCACACCTGAGGGGAAAAAAATCAATAAATAAGAATGGGCCTCTCTCTTCTCTTGCCAAATATCAAAGTGGGCCTCTGCCTGGGTTCTGTCAGAGCAAAAAAACAGTTCAAGTTCAAAGCCAGGAGGAGTAGAATCAAAGGAGAACATGAAAACAATCTCTCTTCTCAAGGAGACCACAGGTCACGTTGAAGACATTTTACATCTTAAGGACTCTGGCTTCAAATTCATTAGCACCTGTGACAAGATTAACAGGCCCAGGGGAGAATTTGCTGAGGTTACAAACATTGTTCATGGTGCCCAAGAAGGACAGCCTCCTGTCTGGCCATATATGGGGTTTAGGATTCACCAGAGAGCATCTCTGTTTCAATGCATTTCTTTCTTCATTCATCCATCTCCATGACTCTTAGGATATCCCACATCCACAAATCATATCAATCTCCTAACCATACACCACTCCCTGTATAACCCCCCTTTGCGCTTATTTCTTTCCTGCTACCCTACTTCCTGAGGCTAATCTCCCAGACACCCAATTTGACCTCCCTGTAGCTCCATTTGAACTAATCAGGCTAAAGCTTTCCATAGGCACCTAAATGACAATATCCGCCCATACTTCCGAACTTGGGCTTGTACTGACCTTTTGACATGTTCTTTCAAATCAACTGAACTCTCTTTTACCTTTCACACAGCCTTTTCTAACAGGGACTTGGAGGCTGGGCCTGTAGATGCTTAGTGTAACTAACAGCAAGAATAAAGCTTGACCTCACAACATACACTTTCCCTCTCCTTTATCACCTTAAAACTTTGGGTGAGATCACTGCTATGTTCTGCACATCAGTGAATTAGTCACTTAAGGAACATCTGTACTATAAGGCTTACTAGGCTTAAAGTTACCTAACCTAACACATTCCCCTTCAAGACTGAATAATCCCAGGGGTAACCACTAGACCTCTTTAGAAATTTTCAGGGACATCCAGTTTCTAGGTGGTACAAGCTCTAAACCCAGATCCTCTGGAGTGGCGACTAGAAACTTGCAGACATTGTCTTCAATCTTCATATTATTGGAGAAGCAGAACCTCCTAGGCCACCCCATGTTGAAGTCACACCCTCCTGCAGGACTAATTGTTCTTAGAGGATAGAAGTCCTCTAAGTTGGATTCCAACTTGTAATTCTTTTGCCTCCTTCTCCCAAAGTGATGGGAGTATAGGTATGTACCACTATACCTGGCCCAACAGTCCTTTGCAAGAGGCAGGGAGAAGTCTTCCAACATAGGTTGGATTACTGTGAGAGCCTGAGCCAGATCCTAAATATGCTGTCTTCAGGTTAGATTGACCTTGGGATGGGACAGGAGGCAGCCAGATGGGACTGCACCTGGAGTCATGGGTTGATACACAGGGAAATCAAGGCTGCAGGGGTTGGCCAGTGCCAGGTGAATTCATGGGTCAGCAATTTTGCAGAACATGTTTCCATATTAGCATTTTTCTTTGTATCTGCTTACAGGTGGAGCTCAGCATAGCGACTGAGAGGCTGGCTTGCTCAACTGTCAGTGACGAGGCCGGAGGTGTTAGCTGTGCCTTGTGCTCTTGCCACCAATAGAGATTCCCCCCTGGCTGTGTCAGGTGAAGGTCTCTGCACCATTGAGCTTTCCTGTGTTGCACTTCCCATGCTACAGCTTATGAACAATAGGCTTGGGACTGCCTCCCTTCCGCCACTGCCACCAAGCAAGAGTAGTCATTTCATGAGAACTGAGTTGCCCCTCAAACCATACAGATTCTCCCAGAGATATAAAACCAGGACTGCAAAGATGATCGAGGAGAACCCTGCCCACCACAGCACCCCGTAAAATTGGATCCCATCATTTTGCTAATGGAGAAGTCTGATCCTCTTCGTTAGATTTATACCTACTTAATTCAGCTCCTCAAGCTGAATCCCCTTCTATATTTTCTCTTCTTTTCCTTTGCTAAGGGATGGGCTTAACCCTTGGATTTTTCCTATTTTCCATTTAAAGCATTTTCCTGTAGATTCACCTTGATTGCCTCAGTGTTATCTTCCACTGTCACTGAAACACGGATGCACATTACCTGATGACACTCTCAGGAAGCTCTTACCCATAGTCACCAATTGCTGACTCCACCAGCACTGTGCTAGCACCAGAGATTGTTGGCGCCTCCTTCTCCCAGTTCTAAAAGCAGTTATTGGTTCCATATTGTCACTCATTTTTCCAGTAGCATCCTCAAATCTTCCTTTTCTGATCACAAAAGAGCTTGCAAGGAAAAAGTGTGTCCATTTCCAAGTGAGCACACACTTCCTCCTGTAACTCCAGGGGGTCTGCAAGGACCCTGGGGACCATCAGGTGTACAAGGATGGAGGCTGTCCCTGGACTAAGAGCCAGTGAGCTGTGTTTTGTGATCCTGGATGCTCAGGCTCCATGCTGGACAGCAGAATAAATATCAGGAATGGAACTCCAGAATATATTGTTACCTTTTTATTACTTCAAGAAGTACCATGAAGCCTGGGAGAGAGCTCAGCAGTGTAAGCATCTGCCTGGCAAGCACAAGTTCTGAGTTCAATCCTCAGAATAAAATAAAAAAAGTACCATGAAAGATAAATGACAAGCAGTTGGTGTCTGCTTGTAGATGATTTGATGCAAGAAGAAAAGAGCTGCTTGAAAAAGAAATAATACCATCTCCATTTAAAAAAAAAAAAAAACCTTTTAGGAAGGAGTATAGAGCAGGACATTTTTTTGTGCAAGAGAAAAGGCAAAGGATATGCTTTCTCTGAAAGGGCAAGATGAAAAAAGGTTAAGAGAAGTAGGGACACATGGCAGGCAGGTGTTCAGTGAGCAAAGACAGCCTCACTAATAGCCCAAAATCTTCAGAAGAACTTACCAAAAAAAAAACCCAAGAAATGTCACAAGTTCAGTCTCTTGAGTTGCATGAGTGGCAGGTATGTCCTGGGAAGACCTAAGTTATTGGCATCATGCATCAAGCAGGTGCAGATTGCTGGAAAGGAAAGCCCTCGGAGCTTAGATACCTCAGTTCACAGCACCCTTCATCATTATTGCCGTATCTTAATTAGTACATGTACCATCTTGACTAGTACATGAGAATAACCACAGGTCACCAGAGCTCTCTTGTCTGTAAACTCCAATGGGCTAATCATAACATGCAATTCAACTATCTCCAACTTACTAGTCAACCCCATGGATACAAGAGTCCTCAGCCTCCTCTTTCTAAAGTTCTCCTCTCTTGTCTCAATCAGAAGTGTACGACAGAATCATTTGGGGAGCTTTCTTGCTTCTCACTGTGTACCAAGATCAATGCATTCTACCTCTCCATGTGCTACTCATGTATTGCCCTGTCTTGACTTCACACCAGTGTCCCTACCACTTGCCGGAGGGAGGCAGAGCACACCACCCAAACCACTGACACCATTGATGCTGCCACTCTGTTTAGAATGACTGTTCATTATCTCATTGGCATGCAGGTGTGCGAATGATGTCCCCATCTGTGCTGACCTCGCTTAGGCTTTAAAGCAGGATTGGTAGGGCTGGTCAAATAGCTCAGTGGATTAAAGTGCCTGCAGCAGGTGCAGGGGCCCAGGGTTTGATCCTTGGGCCTGCTATGCCAGCTCCACCCCTAGGGCGCACTGAGAAGGCAATTGAGACTGGGTGTGGTGGGGCGTGCCTATAATCCCAGCTCTTGGGAGGCTGTAAACAGGTGGATCACTATGAATCTTATCTAGTAATGAGACCCTGAACACCCTGTAGACTATTCCTTAAAAATACAAAAAATAAATAAATAAATAGAAAATAAAACAGGATTGATGGAGCCACTAGTGCATCATTACTCTCTCAGATTATCTTCATCTTCTTCCCCTGTGTGATGGTTTGTTGGTTGATTTTGACAATTTCCCCTGGGATGGCATCTCTTGGCTTCCAGGACAGACCCCTCAGCTTCTGGTGCAGATCTTTCAGCCTTCCAAACCATCAGCCTCCACATACAGAGTTGCGAAGGCCGCTGCAGTGAGCTCCAGACCTCTGGTTGAATCCTTCCATCTCCAGTATTCAGAAAGACTCTCTGCATGCTTCCTCATCTGACTTTGTTGGCAGCCATTGTAAGCCCCTCTTGTGAATTCATGTACATTTGAATATCTTGTGTAATTCCTGTTTCTCTAGTAAATCCTGATTCATCCTGAAATGATATATATGTTACTAAGCGACAGGTCAGAAGAGGGTCATGTAACAGACACCACGCCTTCTCAGGGCTCAGGTGTTGTTAATGAATTTTCTTTACATCCCAAAACCTCTTTTGTAGGCCAGCTTTTCTCCCAAGACCTCAATCCATTGGACTCTAAATCTGACACTATCTGAGTTCTTGTTTAGACTCCATCTTTACAAAGACAGAGTGGTGAGGTGGGTCACAGAGCTCCTGGGTCCATGTGTCCTTTTAGGCTCAGTTAGGACATCTGATTAGATCTCCAGCTGTCTGTTTCTGCACTCACTGAAGAAAAGGAGCACAGAGTCTCGGGGCCCAACACCACAGACTGCTTCCTCATTTGCTGTTGTTTCAGTTCTGCATTTTGCTTACTGACCTTGAGTACATTTCTTCCTTGGCGGGTCCATTTCCTCGTCTATAAAATTGTACTGCAATTGATACATAGAGGTGCCAATAAGAACCCTTGAAACTCTAAGAGGTAAATTACAAAAATAAAACATAATGGATTGAGATTGGATGGTATCAAAGGCATCTTTAAAACAAACTCTGTCATCTGAAGACTGTGCAGCGGCGGCCTTGTGGATAGCACAACCTCTGCTCCTTGCAAATCTGAAGGGGGAAGAGCCATCCCGGGAGTAAGTCTGTCTAGTATGATCCAGGTCTGATTCCATTAGACCTTGGGGACATCTGAATTCTCCTTACTATCTCTCTCTCTCTCTCTCTCTCTCTCTCTCTCTCTCTCTCTCTCT